TGTTAGCCTCAGTACGGGCGGGCGAAGTACTAGTGCTGGAGGTGGGTTGCTGTTGCCCTCTCGCTGCGATGCTCTCTTTCACCCAGTCTTCCTTCATCTCGGCTCTCAGCCTATACTTGGCCCTCTTGCGGGCATTTGGATCGTTTGGGTCCGTGTTGAGCCGCACGCATGCAGCTATCACCTCGTCGGGGCTTCTCTTCCTTGGCCTGAAGGGCGTTGCGCCGAACGTCGGACCGAAGTTGTCGGGCGCTGTGTCCTTCTCTGCAGCATTGAGACGGAGCAGCCAGTTATCCTCTCGGCTGCGACCGATATATTCGTCCGTGAGGGCTTTCCCCACAGTATTCGGGCGGTGTCCCAGCGCACTCGCCACCGCCGGGGTTGAAGTGCCAAAGAGTAGAGGCTGTGGTAGGTGCGCGATGTCTGCTGCGGCGCCGCGCCGTAAATCGTGTGTCCATGGTGTTGAGAGGAGACCTGTGAGTTCGCCTGCGAGCTGCAGTGTCGCCGTCTGCTGCTTGGCTAGTGCCGGGCGGCTGAAGTCGATGCCGACACCGCCACTGAGATAAGCGTTAAACAGCGGTCTTTCCGGATGCGCCCATTCGATTGCTTTGGGCGACCGTCCTCGCATGGCTGTGTACAAGGCGTCCCAACTGGTTTCGGCGACAGCGCCAGTTCTCAAGGCCATGACAATGATCAGCTTGATGGCATCAGCGGCGTTGTGCTCACTCCCCAACTCCCATAGCTCCGCTTTGTGGTTGTTTGACTGGTCGTCTCTACGTTGGCCGTTAGTTGCAAGGTTTCAACTCTAGGACACTGAACGACCAGGTCATTCGGACTAGTCCGGAACACTGTGGGATAAGAGCAGCGCGTCCAGGAAAACTCACTTGAAGCCTTTTGAATAGGCGATGTTGACAAGCGCTGCCAGTCGCTCGGTTCCATCACGCTCCACGAGCCTGATGTCAATGTGTTCATATCTCATGAACTCCATGCCCTCCCAGTCTCGCGACCTCCGTATGTCACCAGCTCTAGCGCACAACGCGGCTTGTAGGACAAGACCCAAAGTTTTCGACAAAAGGACGTCCCATGAATACGTCCCTTGTGTGAGGCCGTGGTCGAGAAGAGCGGTCGCCATACGGTGCACGATTTCGCAGGTGAGCCAAAGCTGTTCGCGAGTCGGATCCTTCGTCAGGACGCCTGAACACTCGGAATTAGCAAAGCTGCTCTGATGTATGAGGGACTTCCTGTTACTCTACCATTCTTGAGGTATTGCGAGAACACCGCCTTCATGTGCACCGAGTCGCGTGACGTGAGGTGAAAGCCTGTGTGTTGAAACGTGAGACCTTCTATGACCGAGCTAAGCCCACGCTTGAGGTAGCCGAAGGAGATGGCGCCATCTCTTCCTTCGAGTGGGTTCAGGTGAGTTGGAACCGACAGAAATAATCTTTCCAAGTCGGGACCAGCAGGTACGGTGCCAGGCCTATGGGGTTGTCGGTTAGCCCATAAATCTACCTCAGCGTGTGAGACGCTTGACACCAAGTACTGACCTGTGCTTCAGGGTTTCCTTGCAGAATGATTCAAACAGGTTGAGCCACCTGTTCCGCATATTGATAGTACCGGGAGCGCCAGTGACGTTTTCCAAGTGCCGAGACATCTTCTTGCTTGCGAGCTGGTCCGTTGTTGCATTTGCGACTATGGATTCGATACTCTATTTGCCTAGGTGCGCCCAACGGCTCGGCGGGGTGGCCCCATCTCGATGTCGGAGGAATTGAAAGGTTCGTCCTCCATAGCTACTGCAGTCGAGAGATGTTCGTGACTGCTACTGATTTAGAGGGAGAATCGACGTGGTCGATTTAGGCAAGAGAACGAGACATGTATGTGAAGTGGTCGAGGTTGAGGTGAGGTTGAGGTGAGGTTGAGGTTGAAGGCAGCTTGCCGGAGACGGAAGAACCCCGACATCATTGAGATGGCCTTCGCCGGACGTAGAACAGAACCGCCAGTGGCATTAGATGCCAGTCTCTGGAATGATGACGGAATAATCGAGATAATAAAGTAGATGTTGATCAAGTCATCATATTAAATCATTCATGGACTTCAACAGTCCACCCCAACCGCGCTTGGGCTTCATTGAGGCGCAAGTCGTCAGTCTATAGGAGCCATTTCAAGCACTTGGAAGTATAGCAGCATCACTTTGGCAGCGAAAGGCAAGAGTTGTCAGCACGGCAAAAGTCGTTCATACCTCCCTGCTCTTGTTCAGACTGGTCCGTGGCTTCACGTGCCGCCTTCCTCGAAGCAGCCCGCTGCTCGCGTGCGGCCTTGCGCTCTGCAATCTCCATTGCCTGTGCTTCTACCGCCGCCACTTTCCGCTGCGTCAAGCTCAGCGAACTTGGCCTGGCGGGCCACCTCCACCTCCCCATCAGCGAAGCAGCCCCTTCCTCCACAGGCCTGGTCTCTGCGGCGCACCTTTGGTATCAGGAAGATGACCCTCCTACTCGCATCCCTATCCTGCTTGACGGAGTTGGGCTTCTCCGAGAGGGCCGTTTGCGTGTGACTGGGGGCGGAAGCCGGCCTCATGCCGATCCACATCCCTTTATGAGAGGATTTGGTGGGAGCTTCTCAAAACATAACTTCAACGTGGGACACGATGCGGACCTCTCTGCCAGTTTCGCCAGCTTCTCCTCCGTCGGGAGCTTGGTGGTCTGCGCGGTTGTTAGAACTTGGTACGGAGTGCGAGCGGGATAATCATAGTCGCACGCGATATGGGTGATATAAAAGGCAGCGCCAGCCTTCGCTTTGGCGGCCTGTGCTTCTGCCATGGTTGTTTCGTGCTTGGAGAGGGAGCGAGTCCCTTGAGGTGGATGAAGGAGCTAAGAACGAAGCAGCTGGAAAGTCGATGGACCAACCGAAATCTGGGCAGGTGGGAATATCCGCAGGTCAACGAAGCAGCCGACAAGAGATTAAAAGTGAAGTTGATTAGAAGTTGATGGAGGAGCCAAAATACTTGGTAGTTGTTCTCTAGAGCAAAGGTACACCTGCAGTCTTTCGCGTTCGAAGTCAAGGCTGCACCCCCGCACACGCGCCGAAGATTGTCCGGTAAACACGGCGTGATGAGGAATGCACCTGGGCAAGCGCGCCCCCGCTCAGTTCCAAGGTTCTCTCATATGAGCTCTCCTCACACTGCGCGCTCACACTGCCAGCCCTCACCTCTCCAACGCTGCCTACCAAATTTCTTAGGGACGCTCTATCGGTCAGTACTTGATGGTTTTCGTGCTCCTCACAAGACTCGGTCCCTGACATGCCACGCTTCCACACTTCACAATACCCTCAATTGACGCGTTTTGCACCGCGATTCCCGCGACGTTCGCCTTGATTCGTCTTGCCTTCGTCATGTTTCCTGCCTTCATCCGCTCTTTCGAGCTGACGTCGCCGTCGCATCCAAACCCGCGCTGACCACAGATCCTACCACAGTTGTCGCAAACCTCCCACAGCGTGTTCTCGACGGTCGCATCAAGTCTCTAAGTAAGTCTTCTACCTAACTGTATCCATGTTTCCTGATGTTGTTGTTCTGGTTTGTTGTCGCCTCAGCTCGAGAGCTCGCGACTTCATCTTCGCATGACGCGACAACCCCAACCTTGACGAGTTTTGACTTGGGTCTGCGCGACTCTCCACGAGTCAACGTGGTTCGCGCTAGACGTCCGATGATGTTTGAATTTGCAGTCTGCACATAAAGCGCGCTCTCGAGGTCGCCTGCGTCTGCTACTCTTTCTATCGACACCAGTGCCTTGCGTTGAGTCGCATCTTTAATAACCGCTCTAACACCACGATTACACAGCCATACGACACACTCCTCAGCTCTTTCCGACAGCCACCATGCCTAAGGAGAAGACCACGACCCGCAAGGCCAAGGCCGCCAAGGTCGATTCCGGCAAGAAGAAGAAGGGCGAGTCGCATTTCCACCGGCCTCCCGTTCTACACTAACAAATTGGACAGATCCCAACGCGCCAAAGCGGGGCTGTCAGCATACATGTTCTTTGCCAATGAGCAGCGCGAGAAAGTTCGCGAGGACAACCCCGGCATCAAATTCGGTATGTACTCGCAATACTCCCTCATGTCTCTCACGTGCTGACAAGGATGTTAAGGCGATGTCGGTAAGATGCTGGGCGAGAAGTGGAAGGCTCTGAACGATAAGCAGCGTGCGCCATACGAGGCCAAGGCAGTTGCCGACAAGAAGCGCTACGAGGAGGAGAAGGCAGCCTACAGCGCTGTACGTTACCCCTGTTCATACTAGCCCCTTTCTACTACTTGCTGATTATCCTAGAATGCCGACGAAGAGGAAGAAGTCTCCGAGTAAACTCAAATCAACGACCACATCCAAGTGAACGACACCGTCGCCATCTCACCCGTCGTGCCGATTACGGGCTTTCTTGCTCGTCACTGTCTGCCTATCTAGTCTTACCCATCCCGCACCACCTCGTATGTGGATCGGACCGCATGTTGTAGTGCACCTGATGCGCGAGGATGGCCGGAATCAGACTTCTCTTGCTTTTGCTTTCGGAGTTGTTCATTTGCGTGGAGGGAGGGCCTGGGTTCTTTATGTCGGCTAAAAGACTTCTACCGGACATGCTGCTGGATCTTGCGAATGACGAGCTAGGGGTATGGGTGGTAATGCTTTCCCCACCATTTCTGTACAATAGCTAGCTACAGAATGGGTGGACTTCCTTCTTCCAAACAACAACATTTCTTAGTGGATTTGCTTGATGCCAGTATCTGTCCCACTGCCGCCCACGTTTCATTCACAGGTGGCTCCAGGTTATTTCCCTGTCTTTCGGAAGGTCGCCGTTTCGGCTACAAGCAGGCAGCAGCTAAGGTACCCTTCGCACCATCAGCTCTCTTCTGCTGCTGCGGCAGCTGCCGGAAGCCGCACTGTACGCCACCGCCGCTTGCTGGCGTCAGAGCAACGCTTCCAGCACACACGTAGCAATCGCGTCAGCTCCTCAACCTAACCAGCAGGAGTGGTCTAGTGGTAAGACGCTGCCCTCCCATCTACTCGAAAGGCAGAAATCGTGAGTTCGATCCTCGCCTCCTGCAGTTGTGTCCTTTTGGTGCTACCAGTGTCGGCCAGCGCAGTCTATGGGTATTGCTTTTGCTGATCGGCTTGCGATACATAGCCATACAAGTCTATGGTAGGCAGCTAGTTCTGAAGACCAACCAAACCCCCTCAACAGAACTGCAGCGCCTCTTCCGAGATGCCCTGATTCATTGGCCAAACTGCGCGCTTTTGATCTACTCATGAACTCCGGATCCCTGATAACAAACATCCCTCATTCTCTCTGCAGCACCACCGTCAACCCCATCAGCCCCAACATCACCGTCTTCAGCCACGGATACTCGCTCAGCAAGATAGTAACATATCCCACGAAGGGGATGTAGCCCACAACACTGCCAATGACGTCCTTTTGCCTGTTGAGGAAGCTCTGTCCGCGCGCATATAGCTCCGTGTCGTCTGCCGCGTTGTTGTCGCCCTTTGTGAGGAGTCGGAGCGGACTGGACCTGCGTTTCCGAGAAGCTATTAGCATAAAACTTCCTCCATCCGGGACCAGCGGAGGTTCCAGTTGGACGGTGATCTTGTGTGAGCGGCACGGCGACTCACCCCCCACCAAACCGCCTAACAACCCGATGCACAATCGGGATGTCCTTTCCCCGCACATTGTACACAACCACTTCCCCAATCTGCGTGTCCTGGCCTCTGTTCCACAGGAATAGCAGGTCTCCTCGCTGAAACGCCGGCTCCATGCTGCCGGAGAGCACTACGACGATCGGGGAGGGCGAGTCGGTGGCGACGGAAAGGCCTTTCCATAGCATGAATGCTGTGCTGAGGACGAGAGCGAAATTGAGGATTTGTGCGGCTAGTTGCCGGGGTTGGAGGGAGGAGAGGTTGAGCATCGTGGGCGAGTGGTAGGTGTTTGGGCTGGCGGTTCTAGGCGGTGTTGATGGCCAGAAGGCTAGTGATGGTTCGAGAGAGCCTCAAGGCGGTGTCATTGATTTGCTGCCTGTAGGAGGAGCAGGAATTGTGAGCTGTACGAGTTCTCGGTAGTGTTGTTGATGAAGCCAGCTTTGAGAAACGAGATGCTCGCCAAAACCTTCCGTCTCTCCAAGACCCTGTTTTGGGGTCAAGGATCAGCATAAAAGCCGTTGCCGCATAGAAAGCCACTCGTGAACATCGCGGTGGATGATCCAAACACACAGTTCCTAGCCCAAAAACGTCTCCGGTGGTCGACGCGTGAGAGTATTACGCTACTAAATAACTCGCAATCTCTATCATATAGAACCGGTCTAGTTCTTTCACCCTCAAGAGGACTCCAAGTCTCTCAGTCGTGACTTTGTTTTAAAAACGGTAGCGGCTACAATGTGGCAACGGCCTTCTTGGACAGCCTTAGGCGTTCACAGCTCACAACCTTGGAAGCACTACAATAGAGATCTCAATCTTAATAGTGACACTCGTTTTTCCTTGACATCCTCTTCTTTGCCATTGTTCCTGAAGCCTTGTTCAAAACGTCGTACTCAAGCTGCTTCGTTACATATCCACGCAATCTTGCGGGCATACTTCGTCAAGCTGCGTACGAACATGACTCTGAATATCCTATTCTCTCACCATGAGATGCATGCGGCAAAGCCCTCCCGGACATCCCCGAGGATGAGGCCGATGGTTGAGTCTATTCTCTTCTGTGACTATTGATCGTCATGCAATCTCTGTCGCTGCACTTCAGCAAGTGAAACTATCCATCTTTGGATGTCGTGTAGAGACGACTATACAACTTCGCCATAGGTACTTAGAAGCACTTCTCGTCGTTTGCTATTTAGAAGATCTTAGATTACCTTCAAGGATCATAGGCACGACTTCAATGACAGGACCTTGTCCCTCGACGTCTCTTCAAGACCCTCACAACTGCTGTTGCAATTGTCTTTCTAGAGCACTTCGAATCCTTAGCTTCTCTTCATGTTTCGACAAATATAAGCATTGACGTGCTGGCTCTTCTTGATGGACCGCATCGCTTTCCAACAAAATCGAGTTTTGATCATCAGCTCAGGGTACAAGTCTTGGTTGTAGTCAGCGGCGTCGACGCTAGCGGTTCACTGGCCTCTTGGACTTTTGAATGATAAGACGTTCACTCCGCCAACACCTCAAGCAGCAAGGTGGTGGCTGCCTATAACACCCCAGGTCAGAGCCTCACGTCCTCATTGGGAGCTAGGTTCCACCGAAATCTGCGACCTCCTGTCGCCATCAACTTCATCCAGTAACACTGCTCACGTCATACCCCGTAGGACCAAGAGCTGGCTTGAGCTTCCTCTATCGTTCATCACCATCCTATAGATACCATCTGATTTATTCAATAACTTCCTTCCAACCGGGCCTCAATACTCTAGACGCTGCTACAACAGCACTTCTGTCCTACGCCTCAACAACCGCACTACAGTCGGTCAGCGACAACGCTTCAACAGCAACTTCGGCAAAGAAGGACGCCCATTGCTTTTGACACGGCTTTGATATCGTAGCTTGCCAAAAGCATTTCCCCCGTTCACTCGTGTTTCACCTAGTGGTGACCAAGCGTTAGATCGCTCCCTCTTTCCACCATAGCTCATGCTCCAATTCATATTTCGCCACACTGCGATTTCACTAGCCAACGGTTAGGACCACCATTATGGCACTGCCAAATTCACGAACGGATTCTTCGATTTCCTCCTCAGTTCTTTATGAGAGAATTTCAGACGGTACTGAGGTTCAACTCGGGAGCTAGTAAGATCATCACAGTTCTGCTTCATTACTCAGTGGGCTGACTGCGAATCAGCTGGCTCGTTCGAAGAGACCGCGCAGATGAAATGTTCTGGCCCGGCGTTATCTGCGACGTAAGCATGCTGCCAGAGGATTTTCAGAGACGCAGTTTCGTGGAAGCAGTGATGGGCAAGAAGGTTTATCCCGTGTTCATGATGGTCAAGCATAACTTGTGAGTCCGGATTCACCCTTACTGATTCGTGGTGGCTGACTGTCGTTAGCATATGGGTGGCTTACGAGGACCTTTTCGTCTTCGAGCCTAGCAGTCTTTTCCAAATGGAACTGGATGTGAAGTCTTCTGCATTGGCTAGTGCATACCGAGCCGTAATCGAGAATGGTGTTCCTGATCTTGATTACTGGCGATCACGCATCCTTGCAGAGCGCCTCCAGGCGCGCGATGGAACTCGTAGTGACCCGGAGGTTGTTTCGCCGCCTCAGATAACGCCAACGTCACGCAAGAAGGTACAGAGGAAAGAAGAGCGTTATCCGGTCGAGCCAACCCCACCCCCTACCCCGATTGTCAGCAGAAAGCGGAAACCTGCCTCAGCGGGAATCGACACACCATCTGAAGTTGAGGACCCTAGAACAGCAAAGTCAGATGCTAAGCCGCCGTCGAAGAAACCTCGTAGGAGCCGGAGAGTTCTGAGCACGCCACCGGAGAGCGATCCGGAAGACGATGAGGAGGCCCTTTCCTGGTCGTCGAGTCAGCACACCAACCTCTCGACTCAGACGCCCGAGCCGACTGCACCACCAACCTCGTCTGTAGAGGTTTCCGCACCAGCCCGCGAGAGGCATTCTCCGCCTACAGTTGACCGAGAGCCGCAATCTGGGTCATCGGAGGATGTGGTCATGCGGAGCGATGGGCCATTGTTCGAGTGAGTAATCAGCTTTGACACACGCACTCGCATTTTGCACTAACGAAAGCAGCAGGCCGGACGGCGGCAAAGTGGCTTTCATCATTGGCGAGGATAGCACGCCGGTGCGCGTTCCGAAAAGCAGCGTTACGAAGCCTGAACTTCTGCACCTGACGGAGTGTATGACCTGGGATGACACACTCGGATGGCACATCACTAGACCGTTATACTCCGCGTTCACCGTTGCGCGGTTCCACCCCATCGCAGAGTTCCTTACTCACGGAGATTTCAGTCCAAAATTGCTGGATGATGATGACCCCAAGCCGCGCCTGGACGGCGTAGAGAGCATCACTCAGAAGGCCGATGCTCTCCTAGACTGCGGCCGTGCCTTCAATGTCGCACGGGAAGTCCAGCTCCCAGAGATGATGCAACTGGTCGTCCGCAAGATATGCGTTCTTCGCCCATGGCCGGCCGCGGAGGTCCTTATGGTCACCAACTTTGTGTTCCACGAGCCGCCGACTGGTCTGGATGCCGACGACGATTTGCGCAAGCTGTTATGCAATCACATCGCTAAGGATTTCTGGGATATCAACAGCACACAGGCGAAGAATCTGAGAATGATGCTAACGCGCTACCCGGAACTTGAGGAGAATGTGCTCTCCGCTCGACTGGAAAAGCTACGTTCATCTACACCTGACAGCGGAATTGGTGAAGACGGTTAGCCATTACAAAAGACGATGATCGTTTGGCAAAGGAATTCCTAGCTCGCTCTGGGCTCCTCAGCACCTCCAGCGTTACCTGCATCATCTTGGGAGAGTCTTTTTTGTTGTCGGTTTGCAGTTGGCGTTATTTTGACCACGGAGTCTCACAGAACATCTTCTGGGACAGTCGTTTCAGGTCGCATCACTATGTCACCGGGAGTTTTATTCAAGCGTTTTAAGCATCCATTCAGTCCTATTGTTTTCTAGAGGCACGCGAGCACCTGGATGCAATTCGCATCGCGCTAGCTGCACTCAAGTGAAAAACAACCAATTACTCCGTTGCGAGACAGTTTCGGGCTTCTCGAGAAGCAAAAACAGACAGATGAGTTTGCATACAGATACACGATTTCCCAACATCCTTCCGCGAACAGTTATGCGATAACTGCACCCGATGGCAGAAGCCCCATGTCCACTACCCACACCGCCTCTCTACCGAGACTTCGGCTATGGAGCGTTTGAGATCGGTGCTTAAGGTACGGCGGAGCACGTGAAAGCATGAGGCTGGCTCTCCCACAAGGAGGAGAGGCGCATTACTGGAAGACTCACCTCCGCCAGGCTTTGGAGACTGGAAGCCTCACCTGAAGCTTTTGCAATGTGATAACAAGGCCGTTGATGACAGTGATGAGTACCTCCTCCCCTCGT